AAGTTTGCTTTTGCCCCTAGCAAGCGGCGATGATTTTTGTACGGCACACCGCTGCGGGGAGTGGCTCATGCAGCTTCCTTCATATTCGAACGGCGCGATGGGTGTCGTTCATCCAACGGGCGCATCACGACATGACAGGGCTGGTTTCTGGCCTCATGGGACCAGGCCTGTATCTGAAAATGACCGTGCGTGAGAATGGTACAAGCACGCTTCATCGACGCGTGCGTTCTAGTCGCGAACCGGCTCGCCATCGTGACATCGGGCATCCCCACGTCAGCAGTGCTTGTCTAGCAAGACAAAGACCAGCCTAGCTCTTTCACGCCTGCGGCCATCCGGCTGAATCCTCGCAGATACAACTTTCCGAAGAGCAGTATAAAAATTGAATGATAAACAGGGTTTTATCGAGCCTTAACATTGTGCCCAGCGTACACACTCCGCTGCGTCAGGCTCAGTAGAGTTATGCCAGATACCACTGCTCTGTCGCGACGGTCATTACTGCCACAAGGAGGGGAAAATTTACACTCGAACATATTTGCAGCCGAACGACTCACCTATAGCCTCTGAGGACATTGAAAGAATGTCCACGATGCCAAGCTCGATCGCCATCACGTCGCTATCATCGTATGGGATGGATGTTAGCGGGCTTGGGAGGAGCTAGCGGGGAGTGAGAATTCCGATAATTTGTTAGCGCCTAAGGATGTCGAGGACACTGAGAAGTCTGGTGAGGATTCTTGATCGCGGTGAGAAGGCAATCCAATATCTAATATAATAAAACACCTCGGGCGTCAAATCCCCGAGACAAAGAGGCACTCTCATTGGCCAGTGATCCCCTCTCACGAGGCGCCTCTCACAGGGGCGCTGCACGCCCAGCCAACCGAAGGTTGGCGGCGGGCGGCGCGTTCCTCTCATTTCTCATTCGATTTCTCTTAATTCTCTTCTGAATTCTTCTCTCAATATCTTTTCTCAATTCGCTCTGCCCGTGCGTAGCACGGGTCACCCTCTCGTTAATATAATATGCCTTGCAAAGGGCGGATATATCTAAATACGGTAACATTACGCGGTGCGCGTCATATCGGGAAGTCGGGAAAGGCGCGACGCCTGATAGCGGATCACTGTACGGGCGTCTCGAACAAGAAAGCCGTCGGTGATGCTTACGTAGCTGTCGAAAAACGGATGTATCCACGTATCGAAGGATTCAAAACAGAGCGTACTTGTTAGATCTGACAGTTCCCCAGCGGCAGATACTCGTCGAAGACGAGAGGAAAGGGACGCATGTTCGGAATTGAGCACTTATGGAGTTATAGGTGGAGCAGATGGCAGCACGGAAACCCAGTTTCCTATTATTCTCAAGTATATTAACGGTCTTTCCATCCCCTCAAAGCTCAAAGTGTTGAGTTCCCACATCTATACTGGTTTCGCTCCACAATGGGATCAGCTTCTGCGGTGCCAACGCCTTCAGAAGCCCTTCGCAATCTTTAACGAAGTACTATTCTGTTGTAAAATGTCGTGCATCTGGAAACGTGACATCTGGAAAGGATTATAACAATAATTTTTGATCGAAGACCGTCAAGTTCACTCATAAACTGTGCAAGCAGTAGCTCACCCCAAAAAACTCTCCTCCTTGCTTCCCCACGTTGATTATGTCGGCGCAGTCAAACCAGGTCCTTGTTCAGACATATTTACGAGTGTAAGCATCGCCATTGTGCTTATTTGGCGACCCAATAATTACGTCTTTATCTTCTAGTATTACGGCCAGCTATATCAATGCAGCTACCGCGTGCAAGTACATCCATTGTCTCCAATTGCATCGCTCACACAATATTCGTCCCTCAGGCCTCGTCATATATGAGTTTCTGATTACCATCGGTGACGAGATCAAGATTGTGTGGAGGAGGCCAATTACTGCACGTGCCGTCCTCCTTGGCTCGGTACGATGGTGTATGCTCCTCTCAGCCGTCCTGGATCTTGCGCCGGAAACTGCGAATGTGAGCCTTAGGTACATTAGACCGTGTGCAATCTATGATAACGCTTCTCACAGGAGTAAGATCAGCTTGTCTAAGGCCCGTGGATAGAGGAGCACTTGCTAAAACTTGACGTATAGCTGCGCGCCGCTTGAAATCCTGTACTGGACATTCTTCCTCGTTCAATTCCCCCAGGCCGCACGTACGCTTTACATGATCTGTTCAAATCAGAAAATTCTCTGATTTATACATGCCAGTCTTCTCTGCCGCGCGCGTCTTCGCAATCTGGAATAGGAGCTATGTCTGGTCGCTGGTGGTGTTAACGCTAAACATGACGCCGTTGGCGACGAATCTAGTGCGTACCGCTGTTGATTGAACCTTGCACACGCTCTAGTTGACGCTTCTATGCAGTACAGTGCGGTAATGTCAAAGTATGGGTTCGTTATGGAGCCGCTTACCGGACCGACATGTCTCACAGAGCTTCAGTTCTCTGTGCGAACATATGGCATGTGGGTGTACATATTTTTCTGGTGCAATTTCGGAATACTGAATTTGCAATATAGACGTACGTTCCGGGGTCGGAACCTTCTAATATTTCGGAAATATTGATATCGCCTGCTCATAGTCGTGTACATCACACGTGGCTCACTCATCCTCGCCGACGCTATCGTGCTCGTTCTAACATGGATTAAGACATTTGGACACTGGAAGAGTGCCCGCCGACTCAGCATGAGAGTTTCACTGACGACGTGTCTGTTGCGCGATGGTCAGCAGTCCTTAGAGTATCTTCACATTTTCCGTTGCTGACGCCCAACTATCCATGCAGGAACTATGTTTTTCATGCGAGTGCGACTCATTAGTCTCATCGGATGGAATATCTGACAAGAGACAATGGATGTAGAGCTCTGCTGGCAATAAATATATCCCAGCTGCTGACACACAGCATCGAGCAGCAGGAGGCATCGCTCGTTGGCGCATTGATGATGAACCTGGTGCGGACCTTACATTTCGTTCGCCCTTTCTTACTCATCAATTAATCACACAGCCTTCGGTGCTCATCAATCGCTTCATAATTAACCTCCAGACGGCAGGCGAAGCGATGTTGGACTACTCTGTACACACAAGTGGCCAGCAGCAAGGACAGCCAATGCTGCAGTTTAGAAGGCAAGCGAATCGGCCAGGCGACATGGGGGAGATGCTGCAAGATGGCTGGAGCGATGAACCCCGAGATGGAGGAGATGATGCTGCAGAATTGGGCGAAGAAGGACCCTATGAGACCGGTGCCGAAGCTCGAGCCGGCGTCGATGATTAAGCTGGGCCCAAGGATACGCTCTGATTTTAGATGAATAGCAAGACTTGTAACTTATGCGAGCAGTGAACTCGAAGACTATGAAATCGACTGGTCTCAAGTGAGCGGTGTACCGCCAGACTCTGATGCGTAAATATGTGTTTTTGGGGGTGGTGGTTACTTTTTATATTGTAGGTAGCTATCCAAGATAGAAACTCTCAGCAAACTAAATCTACTCAAGTGTCTTCACACAGGTTGCACCATGCATTCGGGCATATCTCGCAGGTCCTGCCAAAATGATCACTTACAGGACATGCGGCGCTCTA